ACCACATAAACTTCAGACATTCTTGGAACTACTGAAAACACTCTTAATGGTGCCAGCAGTCTCAAACAAATAGCTGTACCGTAGTCATTTTGGAACTGTCTACTACTCAGCATGTTATACTCACATCATAAAGAAAACAAAAAGAAACCCTCATAGGAAGTGATAGCATTTACTTCCAGACACAGAGCTACATATGTCAATATTAGCTTTACTGGAGGAAAAAAAATAAAAAAATGTTTTTGGGTTAAAGTGTATTCTTTTTATATGCATTCCATTTTCATACTTTGCTGCCAGTTTTAAAAATGAACTTGGAGACTTAAGAAGTAAAAATCTATTCTGCTGCTTGTCAGAAAGATGGCTCACATGGCCAAGACTGGTGCTGGTCGGGATTTTGTTCAGCTAAGTGATTTGGGCAGATAAGAAAATGCCAATTTGCAAAAAAAACCCAAACCCCAAAACCTGGATAGCAAATCTTCATTTGCAGATGGCATAGGGTACATAGATTTCTTTATGTCTTTGATTAGCTTGACTAAAAGCAGAAGCAAAAGCCTGTGTCCCAGATGATCAGAGTGTTTGAGGCTTTGTGATTTTTTTTCTCATAGTAATAAATGAATTAAAAAAAAAAACAACAAACAGCTTAGGAGTATCTTGATGTAGACTGATTACTGCAATCATCTTTTTCTGTGCTCAGCTCTAGTTCCAAAATTGCATTGGCTGATTTTCCCAAATCTATCAATGACCAATGATCTCTGAAATATCTTTAGGTATACCAACATAAGTCGTAAGTCTCAAAATTAGCCTGTTTTAACATAAAAAACAATCATTGCTATCCTAAAATCCACAAATGCTTTGGTCATAGCTTTTCTTCGTTCTTCCTTTGCCCTGAATACCTTGCTGATAAGAAACTGCTCCTGTTTTGGGGAATGGGTTGCGGCAGCTGGGGAAGCATGCTACTGCTTTAGCAATGGCCATCTGAAGATGCTGAAGTAGGACACATTTTTAATGAATAAAATTTTATCATCTTTTTGAAAAAAAAAAAAAAAAAGCCAGCCTGGATTATATTCTGATTTGTGTTCCTGTGCTATCACCTTTTTTCCAGGGCAAAATGTTTTAGTATGAGCCAGTACAGTGGGCACGTCAGAACAAGACCGACTGGAAAAAATAGCTCAGGTTGTCATAAACCACTCTGTATCTCCTAATCTCTAGAAAATTCCAGTAGTGTTACATTGGAAGTGGTGGGATTACACCTATGGCTTACTTCTTATGCAGATCTTTCATGTATATGAAGTGACCGTGCATGTGAGAAATTAAAAAAAAAAATCAGCGGAATTACTAGCAACTGCTAAAGATTTGCCCTGTGCAATCCCTATAGGGAGTGACCCATGCCCACCAGCCTGTCAGTAATAAACTGGCAAAGAACAAATCACTCACGTATCTTGACCATCCAGTGTGCTATAGGCTTGCCTGGTTACTAAAGTTCCAACCTTTTTTTCTTGGTAATGGCAAATGATCCACCATGCAGTTTTTAATCAGGTGTAGTGGGCACCACTTCAGGATGTCTGCTTAAGCAAAGAGGATGTTTCCCCAAAGTAACTTCTGCCTTGTCATTTCCACAACCTCAGGGAGCTGTGCAAAGTATTATTAACATGCAAAAGGAAACAGACTTTCTCAGTACACTATTTCTCAGTAAACTAGTGAAAGGCTGAACAATGCCATTCAATTGCCAAAGAAAATGTGCTTGTCTTTCATGACACTGGTGTTAAAGGGACCCACTTAGTATGGAGGGCTCACCAGCAGCAACATGAAATGCATTATGTTAGCATAATGTTATATAAATGAATTCCCTCCTCTGTCAAGCTGGCAATTTTGTAAGAAGTCAAAAATATGTACAGAAAGGCTTAGCATCTTGAATCCTTTCTCTTACAGCCCAAAATTCCCACCAAAAGCCAACCTCAAATAACGAGACGCTTTAGACCCTGGCTACGTAGCGAACTGCCCACCAGCAAACCCTAATGGGTGGCAGTCACTGTGCCCAAAATAGCACAAGGGAAGGAAGGCAGCATGCTATCTTCTGTTTCCAGATCACAAGTGAAACAGCAAATGCAGGAATACTGTACTGACCAAGGTTTGCAGCAGCATTACAAGTGAGATGAGAACATGGTTTCAAATCCCTTCAGTCAAGTCAACTCGTTTCTTGGTTCTTAACTGCTACCTGTACAGCAGAGGGATAGGAACTCTTGTTGAGGACTCTGCAGATGTTCATGGGAATGTGGTGGGGTGATAACTTAGGGACCCAGAGCTTGCAACTGTGAGTTCCAGTGGTTTGGCTCGGCCAGTCACTCCCACAGAGGATTGCCTTAGCCCCTGTGGGGGAGCAGTAGTGGGGAGCTGGTGCTGAAGCAATGAAGCATGAGTCAGGTGGGTGAAACGGTCTGTTTTGATATTTTAAATGCGTAGAGGGTGCTGTTTGTGAGGACCTGTGTGTGCAGACTGCAAATAGTCTCTATCACAGTTGGAAATGTGGTGATTCATTGTGGTCACTGTGTTTCTACCACCACTTGTTTTCTTCCTTCTGACTTTTGGTACTCCTCCTTATTTCATTGGGCTTTTTGTTCCCCGTTCCTTCCTGGGCTTTGACAGTCCACGGTAACCAGTCATGTCATCTTCCTTAGCCCCATACACATGGCATGTGGAAGAAATTCAGTCCCCTGAGTGCTATTTGTTTCTGTTTTTCATCTGCCAAGCATCAGTAACCTGTATTTTTGTCTCCTGTAGATAGTCTGTGATAGGCTTGCAGCTGCTGGGGAGTAGCTGCAGGTCCTAGGAGGCTGCCTGTCTGTCACTGGACGAGGCAGGTTGTGCATCTGTGGGTCAGAGAAGAATAATCAGGATTTGAAACATGTTCAAAGGAAACTTGGAACATAAAACTTGGCAACATCACCCAGGCAATTGGTGCTAGAATCTGACTAACTCCATTCTCTTGGGCACTCTGCCAGTCTCTGCTGTGGCCTTTGCATATTTTCAGGCATAGACAAGTTAAAATACTAAAAAATATTTTGCAGTCTGCCACCATAAGCAACTGAAAGACTGTGTGAAGCCTTTAATTCAGGACTTTAAAGCATGGTAAGTACAGTCTTCTTTCTTCTTTTTCTTCCCAATATATCTGCAGAGGGGGCATTTCGGAGGTTCTGAACTCAGCTGGGCTCTATTTCCCGGCAAAGGCAAGAAACTCATCTGGCATGTTTTTCAAATGGCTGCCCCAAACAACTGCCTTCAATAAAAAGTCCCACATGGAAAATCCAGCTACATATTTCACCTGGAAATTTGATAGTTATAGTTTACATTTTCTTAACATCTATCATAGCTTAAAATAAAATGTTGGATGACTAGAAAATATTTCTTTATCCAGCTGGCAAAGCCAGAAACTTTGACCAGCACTGGCAGGAAAACAAGCGAGCAACTAGAACAGCAGCTCTGGGGGCTGAAGAAACATTCCAGGCAAAGAAGTATGAGAGCCAAACGTACAAATGGCCCAAAGTTTATAATACTGACTCAATAAGGCAGCCTCAACCGTAAACATATGGAAGAAGGAAAGAATAGATACTGGTGAATTAAATTCACTTGAATGCATGGATTCAGCTTATAAAATCAGCCACAGCTTTTCCCTGGCACAGAGCTGCCATGGCTAGTGAGCCACTAGAGTAAGCATTTATTACGACTGTAACAGAGTAAAGGTAAACAGCAGAGGGCTGCCCTATCAGTGGTGGAATAAGAGACACCATGGTCAAACAAACTGGAGTGCTTGGGAGGCACATAAAACTGGTGAATATAGCTGGCAGCCTGTTAAAGGATAAGGGCAGGGGGCATTTGTGTTTACCAGGTGGCTCTTGTACCCACTCGGGCAGGAACTACATGCTGACCAGCAGCACGTGCTGCTCTTGAGATACTAACAGCCTGATAATGAATGGTGCCTCACTTCCAGGCCACTCCATAATTTCACGGCAAATCTGGATATGGCCATCACACTCGTGTTTCCCATCTTTCTGCAATGGAATGACCCCCTACTGCTGGTCATCCAACTCAGTCCTACTGCCTGTCAACCAACACATGCCTCCATAAGCTCTCGCATTACCTCCCTCCTCCCATCCCTTAGAGCTCGCAGTTTTTAGGATTGTACCTGTTGAATGCAATGCACCCTCTACTTCTTCCTCCAGTGTCTTCTAGTCCTTGTTGCTGAGGTCCGGAGGTTTCAGCTCTGTGGAATGAGCCAGAAGGTGCAGGGAATCTGGTGCAGTTCTCGGAGGGGATGAAGTTAAAGTCTTCCAGGTCACATGTCTTTTTATTGTTATGGTACTGGCTGATGCTTGGGTTGATACTGCATTTCTCCAGGCTCTTAGGAACTGGCAAATCCCGAGTCTGCCTTACTTCTTATGTTCAGTTCATATCTGCTTGTGTATTTTCTTTGCTTCAGAGTAAACTCAGGGAGCTGGTCTCAGTTTGGCATGAAGTGCTCTTAGTAACTACTTCTTCTCTTAGAGGTTACTTCATCAGAGGCAGATGATGACTAGTGCTACTAGAGAGTAACACCTGCTATTTCCATGAGGATGCTGGCACCTACTTGCTTAGAGTTTTGTACTGTGAGATATGTAGCAAAGGGATAGGTACAGAGGGACTACACCAACAATACCACTGAGTTCTGACAAACAGACCTACCAAGGACACCCTGAAGTCCTGCTAAACCCATTCGGGCGGATACTGCTAGCTGATTGTCACTACCTAACTGTAAGACAACCTGTCAACCTTGCCAAAGTTTTGCCTACACACCTGACTGAAAGAGATCAGCAGCAGGTTGAGCCACCCAGCAGGCAAGCCTTGGAGGTAGAATCTGTCACTTAACAACCTATTTAAAAAGTAATAAAAATTGCGTGGATGGGCACGACACCAGCCTAAGGGATTTAACCTCTTTTGCATCTCCCATTGCACTTACAAATGAAATCTTAAGCCCATAGATTCATCAGTTTGAAGAACAGGCAAGGGAAGCGAATTAGAAGACATTAATTAGACGTGAAGTGACCTTACCTATTAAGGTATGAAATATAGCAGCTACAGCGCCAGCCACAACCATGCATAAAACTGCTTTGGTCCTGTCTCGCTTGCTGTTCACAAACACCAGGCCTACATTTTTGAAGTCACTCATCGGACCCGTGAAGAACTTCATCAGGGAGTATGCCAGCCCATAGCTGGCCAGCATTTCCACAGCATCTTCCTTGACAGCAGCGATGCCCCTATTCAAGGCCTGTTGAAACACAGAAAGAGAATATAATGTAGCACATGTGGAAGTGTATCAAAAACAATATTCTGCAGCAGGTTTCTGAAGGAACAGACAAGTTCAGCTCTCCTTGTCTTCACCCCAAGTTGGACTTCATATCTCTGGGTTCAGCAACAGCAACTTGTGGCTTGTGACACAGACAACTTCATAATTTCATGTGGACAGTAAGTTCAAGTCAAGTAGACTTGAAGATAAACTGTATTCTAGGAACTACCTATTATGGAGTATATAATGGAACTCCTGCTATACCAGAAGTCAGTCTCCTTCCTTTTTAGAGTAATTTTATGACCGGAAAATAATAATGGATAATACAAGACCATTTAAATGCCACTTTGAGGCTTTAACCCTGAACTGAACAAAGCACAGTCCTTGTAGGCCATCTGTACAGGTAAAAACTCTGACATTATTATATGCTGAAATTTCAGGAGCTCAAACTTTTTTTCAGGGTGATGAGCTTTTTACTACATCCCATGAATAGCTGATACTATCCTATCATGTTTACTATGAAACTGGCCCAAACATGCACATGACTAAACATATCTGTTCTCCTTTCATGTATTTCACAAGGTCTGATCCTATATTCATTCACATCTCCTTGCAGCATATTTAAAAAGAAATATAGCACATATATTTTAAGACATATTAAGGTTCAACTAACCTGCTAATTCATTCTAGGTCCATATTTAGGAAATGAATAACTGGGAATTAGATGGATTATTTTTATAACTAAGGTGAACCATAGAAAACTGTGTAACTGATTCAGATTCCAGCTTGAACCAAAATGCTTCTAAAATATTGAATAAAAATGACAGAATGATAAATTTTATCTGCAGTGTGACAGCATCAATCATCTGATACACTCAGCAAACTGTTAAAACAAGATCTGATTCAAAAAGCATGAAGGATGAAATACGTTTTGTTTTCACAAGTATTTAGCTTCTGTGGGTTACAGCTGATGTGTGCTGACAGGGCCATGGCAATGAGGCCACCCAGGAACATCTCTCCAACCCACCCTCCAAATCTCAGTCTATCCACTTATGCAGCAGTTCTAATACCACTTTTTCTGAATGAACAAACCAGGCAGAGTATCATCAGGTAATCGTGGTGAAGTCCTTCCATTTCAAATGTAAGCAGAGTCTTTTTGTTGCAGCCTTTTGACTTTTTTGTTCCCTTCAAAGACCATGTAAGCAAGCAACTCCCATTGACTTAAAAAGAAACCACATCCCTAAAGCAGAAATGTGCATTTTTCCTACTGTTCTTTTCCACTCTTTCTGTGGGACATGCTTAATTTTTGAAACCAAAGCTGCACTACCAGCGTAGCAAAAAGCTGTAGAAAATACCAACTTCTCCATCCTTGGTATCTGCTATATCTCTGTCTTGCAGCGTGCTTTGACTTGAACACCTGAGGCTCCAAATGTTTAAGTTTGCCTTGCTCCAGTTTGTCCCTTCCTGAAAATACCATGTGTTAGATATGGAATATCTGCACCTGCTATATGCAACCTTTTCTGGGGTATAGATAATTCCATCTATGGCATCGATAAAAGTTCAAATTACGTTTAATCTGCAGATGCCAAAACCACAAGTGGGTGCCTAAAACTGTGGTCAGGCAATTTGCTGAAAAGACTGTGGCCATCGGAAGGAATAGTCAAGATAAGCTGTCTTTTGTGATGATACTTGTGATGATGTTCTAATTGATATCAAGGTGTATACAGAGTTATAATATTTTCATTTAAACTTCCTAAAGATGCTAAGTCTCCCTGTTGCTGTTGTCAGTAATAGGTAAGTAGCTTTAGATTATGCCATACAGAGGGTTCCTTGAGCACGGCTTTCCCCCCTCTTTTCTTTTGTCAACAGTGAAGTATTTCTGGCAGCTTCAATTTAAAAAGAAACAGCTAACCAATTTCAGGTAGTCTGGTTTAAAAGCTTCTTGTCATGTGTGAACAGCTGCATTGTTGCCAGCAGTTTCACAAGCGCAAGTGCTTCCTTCCTGGTTTGCACAACTACTGAATACCGGAGTCTGTGGAGGACGGTAATCCACTTCTGACAAGGTCTCTGGGATAAATGTGGCTTTAAGAAATCACATTCTGTCAAGAGGCACGGCACTATGATCCCTCCACAGAGAGACAATCTTTGCCGAGCCAGTGAAACTAGTTCTGTGTGACTTTGGCCCCAGGGTAACTAAGTTTTCCACCTAACTAGGACAGACAGAAAGACTTGAGCACTCCTCTTTCTTTCTCCCTCTGGTTTTACAGGCTGAGTTCTGATCTCTTTTGTGTGAACAAATGACAGCCAAGTAGATATTTCTGAGTAATTTTCCCCAGAGACACACTGTGTACCAGGTAAGGTAAACTGGCAAAATCCAAAAGGGAATTTTCTAAGAGGTATGTTGCCATTAATTTATACTCCTGTGAAACGGTTGGCTGACGTGATGAAATACTCCAGAGGCTAGCCCTGAAAAAGCAATCCTCCTAAATGCTTCTTTGGAAAGATCCTGAGGAAATGAACAGTCAATTGGGCTGTGTACAGATGGTTTAGCTTCTGTAGCTTTCTTACTACTTTTTCACTTTAAGATGACAATGGAAAAGGTTCTTCATCCTCAGCTTCTAAACACTATATGAGAACTTGTGTAGCTTTTCTACCTCATGTACCTTAAAATATTTTTGCTATTGAAGCTGTTGATATCATATTTGATATCCTTAAATCCACAAGAAATCCCAGATACCTGATAAAACTGCTTTGGGTGCAATATGAAAGACACAGGCACTTGATCTTTTCACAGCATGCCAGCCATGCAGTTGGTAATCTTGCAGTCTCATTTCCTGTTAGATTTCCAATTAAATTTCTCATAAAGGAAGAAAAATATAAACCAGTGCAAGGTCTCAATTTTTTTTGTCTGACTCAATTTTGTAGACTTTTTTTGTGAACAAAAATCAATAACAAAATTTCATCGGTAGCATCTGTATTCCGTATTTGTTTTGCACACAACAGAGCATATCTCTACAAAGATTTGTGTAGCTTGTCAACAAAATCACACAGAACTACGTAGTAATAATAATAATCATCATCACAATATTTAATATAAGAAGTTAGCTTGATCATACATATTCCAGATGTCATCCTACTTTCAGACGACTTATTCACACCAAACTTGAAGGGAGAACTAGGAAATCCAGATGCTAGAAGAAAGACTATTGGTGATGGCACCTTCTCCTGAGTTTTAATGAACAGCTAACCTAATATGCTAGTAGGTGAAAATGTCACAGTAAATTGCTACTCATCAAACCTGATTAAAACAAAGCCACTGGCATTGCTGACCCTTCTTTTAAAAATAACAGAAAAAAGCACAAAATACTTCCAGGTTGAGTACGACCTGGTAGGTACATGAACAGGTTAGGTGAAGTAAGTCATATTCCTAAAACACTTCTCAAAAAGGCAGGCACCAAGATCTACAGCTGCTTCTATGCAATGTCTTCTGTAACACATTATGTTATCATTAGAAAGATCAAATCTTTGCCAGAGAACCCGGTAACAACCCCTTGAGCCCTTCTTTATGAATAACTGTGTGCTGTCTCTAATGTTCATTAAAATCAGAGAGGAACTAGCATTTTTAAATTCCCACCCAAAAGATTCAAGTCTGGGAAAACCAAATAATACACTTAATGACATCTCCAGCCAGTAACCACATCTTTACAATTTGGTACTGCAGCTGACTTTATACTCTTAGAAGGAACATATGAGACCTCTATCAAATTTTTGGGACATGCATAATGGATGAATCCAACAAACTTTTGCATGCAAAAGCAGTGATTTAAGAAGCAACAGTTGTAAGAAAAATGCCAAGGGTCTTGTCCTACTTTGCATGAGGTTTCAGCACTATTCACTAATGTTGGCAGAAAAGGTTTGGTTCCAATCTACAGCTACACACCTCTGTTGCCAAAAACTCAAAGTCCGTCAGTTAAGCTGGTTCTATAGAGTTTGACCATTTCTCACACAATCCTCCTCTCCCAGAGACTACTGGATGACTGATGTTTTATTTTGTATTGGATTAGACATATAAAAGCATAAAAAAAATCACTGAGAAAGCCACACCTATTGTAGATGTTTTCTTCTACTTTTAAAAAAGTTTTATTACCTACGTACTGCATAGAATTTCAATAGTCTGTGTCTAACTAGAAGGGCACATTTTCTACTTCATTTGAAGTTAACTATTGACTATGCAGTCAATACTTGACCAGTGCATGTGTTTCAAAAAAGAGCAAGTAAAATCCAAGAAATGTAATTCTTGTCAGTCCTCAATTTTGCTCACCCTGAAAAAGCAGACTGTGACCTAGTGGAAGCTGGCATGTTTCTAGAGCTTGTTTGAAGCTGGGATTCTGCCTGATACGTTTTCAAGTCTGTTCTAGCTAGTTATCTACCTAAGTGTGACATCAAAAAACCCGCTCAATTTGACAGTAAGATGGCCAACTGTATGTTCAGTTCAGTGAACATTTGTAAGATGTTCCCCCTCGCCCTACATCTTTCTTCCTACCTGCCCTCCCCTAAGAAAATGGAACAGAGCCAAAGTATCCAGTTAAAGAGCAAGCTGACGCAGGGGACAGTGTTTCTCCTGTGTCAAATAATCTCTCTCCTGATGATTGTTGGCTGAGTTTTCATTTACTAAATCCTGTCACATTGAAATCTTCAGTATCAAATGTACCAGCTGGCTCTGGCTGTTCTGCCCTCCCCGTCACTGCTGCGGGAACTGCACTGCCAGAGGGACCCCCGACAGATGCGATGCTCTGTAAGCATGGCATAACCAGACCACAGTGTGGGTGCTACCTGAGCATTACCCCATCTGCATCTCTGCTTCTGTCTGGGTTTCTCTTAAAGGCAGGAGCCACTGGTGGACAATTTGAGGCAAACAACTAGTGCTCTGACACAGGTCTGTGTAAGACTTCCATGGACATAAATACAGAAGTGGGAGAAAATAGGGT